TTAATATAATATTTGTAGTTATTATATATTTCAGTAGTATTTAAATAAAATTATTTGAATTTATTTATTATGCAGGTTATTATTAAAAAAGTCTCGAAAGAACTTTTGAATCATAATATATATCCAATTCCCAATGATTATAAAAAAATAACAGAAGAAATTTTAAAGAAAACAAATAATAACTTTTTTTTGAGTTTAGGTAATTAATGGGATAGATATTTTGAGAAAAAAATAAAGAAATCTGTAAGTATCATTTAAAATTGTTAATTAATATTATAAATATTATTAAATCTTATAATAGCTATTAAAATTTATAGATGGATGAAAAAATATGAAGTTTACATAGTAATTTAAATACGAAAGTAAAAGTATCTATCTTTGAAGTCTTTGATAAATTATTACTTATTAACAACAATATGACAATAACTGAAATTACCATATGGAAAAGTAATTTTATAGTATTAGAATGTTATAAGAAATTGTTTAAAGAAATTGAAAATATATCTGAAAAATATATCATACGTATAATAAAAAACGTATAGTCCAAAAAGAACTAATCTCAAATTCTCACACTGCTTAGTACGTGTCGATTGTTGAAATCTTCCTAAACTCCTATAATGATTATATTCAAATTACTGAAAATATTATTCAATCTTTTGTTGAAAAAATTATAATAAGTAATTAAAATAATTAATATTAAAATAATATTCAAAAACTAACAAAAAATAAAAAATAAAATAAAATAAAATTTAAAAAAAGATTGTAGATAAGAAAGAATTTAATAATGACTTTGACGAATCAGAAGAAATTTCTAAAACTTTTGAAAAAAAATGTAAAAATCAAATGAATAATGATACGGAACTTCTAACTCTTGGTGAAACATGAATAAGATTAAAAAAAATAATAAATAAAAAAAAGAAAGTAAAACAAATGGTAACCTTTCGAAATAAAAGAAAATTCAAAAAAGATGACAGTAATGATGATGATGATTATGGTGATGATAATAATAATGATGATGATGAAATGATGATGATCTATAAATAATATAAAATAATTAATAAAAAAAAATAATTGATAATGTAAATAAAAATAAATATAATGTAAATAAAATATAAATTTGCAAAACTAAATAAACAAAATAAATTATTAGCATGTTTTTTATCCAATGATTTTTTTAGAACTAAATAGATCTTTATCTATCTAAAAATTTGTTAAAGATCATAATTTTAAAGAATTAAAAATAGAATTTCAATATCATTTCTTATTAAATATCCTACGAATTTTTCAAATAATTTTCAAATATATCTGAATATTTGAGAATCAAAAAAATCCAATATGCAAATATATTCATATAAATTTACAAATTTATTTGAATTTTTTCACATATATTTGTATAAATTCACAAATTTATTCAGATTTTTTTTAAACCGAAAAATATCCAGATATATGTATTTGCCTCCAAAAATTTCCTGATGTACATTTAGAGAAGTTTGACTATAGTTGTAACTTATGAAAATAATTATAGCAAGTATTTTTAAGCATATATAAAGAAAAATCTAGAATAGATACAAAACATCTTTATGATAATTGAAAAAAACTTTTTTTTAACAGGACAACTTTTTCAACTGTTCAAAAACAATAGTATAAGGGCACATGGCCATTTCATTATATGCTAAAAATTTTTGTTTAATAGGTTTTGCTATTATGGTAAGACAAGTCTTTTTTGTTTTCAGAAAATTATAAATAGGTTTTTCTATGTTGGGATTCTTAGAAAATATATTTCAGAGATATATCAAATATTTGACAACAACTGGCAATTTCAACAGGATAACATATCAGCTATGTTGCTAAGCAATTCATTCAAGGGAACTTATCACAAATCATTAATTGACTATCCAATAGTTCCAATATCAATCTTATAGAAATTTATGAAATATAGTTTAAAAAAAAATGTAAAAAAATGAATGTCAAAAAATCTTGTTGAATTGGATCATTTTATGGTGGAGGAATGGGAAAATATTCCACAAGTTGTTATAATTAGTTTAATAAATTCAATGAAAAAATAATGTGAGCTTGTTATTTTAAATAAAGGAGAACGTAATTTTATTATAAATAAACTGATTTCATGCATATTAATGCTCAGTTAATGACTTTTGTTACACACTGTATATGCAGTGTAATACAAGTCTTAGCATAAAGCAAAGATATTGTTTTCAAAATTTTGAATTAATATTATTACAAAAACATCATAAATTTTAATTGTTGAACGATTTAACTGATTATTTAAAAGTAATTTACTTTGATAAAAATATTAAAAATATAAAAAGATTTGTGAATATATATTCTTTGTTACCTGTGATCGTCATAAATTAATGCAAGCATGATTCAATAAATTCTGTGTAATAAAAATAAAAAGTTGATCCGCTCACCAAAATTAAAATATTAAGTGCCTAAATCCCAGTCCAGCTTGGATGGATCCTCAAATGAATTTATTTTGATTAAAATAAAAATAAAATTATTTTTATAATGAAACATTTATAAAGTTATATTTAATAAAGTAGAAAAATGAATTATTAAAAATAAATTATTAATGTACCTTTAAATTCTTCTTTAGACTGGCTAGCTTCATTTTTCGCATCAAGAGTTTCTTCTTGTTATCAAATGTATTAATAAACATTAATAATAACGGCATTAATGATAACGATTTATCAGATACACAAACAAATCTGTAACCAGTATTAAAAAATGCATTCCATCATTCTCTTACATATGCATATCTCTCTTACTTAAAAACATCTTTCTCTTTCTTTCGTTTCTCTCTTCACTCTCTCTTTTATACAACAAGATAATTAAAAATCTCGAATATAATAAATTTAAAAATTATTATTATTATTTAACTAATTTCTAAATAAATTTTTAATTTTATTATAAATTTTAAGTACTTTAATAAAATACCAAATTTGTGAAATAGCGATGGATTATTAATAGAAATTATTATTTATTATTTTTTTATTGATTTGTCATCATCTGTACGTCTAAGACAGCAAAAAGCACTGTTCTTGTAAAAAATCTAAAAGAATGCATATAATGTATAAATGTATCTACTAACAAACAACAAAAAAAAAATGTGCGTTTCAAAAAGAGTAATATTTTTTCTTTTTCAAGTTTGAAAATGACATTTGCAAAAAAAAAAAAAAAACTCTTGTTGTTTTGTTACCACGAAATATTATTATTTTAATTATTCTTGCTGTGTTTTCTGTAAGAATGTTTATCAAATGTTTATATTTGATAATATGGTGTTCAATGAATGGTAGCAATTTAACAGCACGATAGCATTCGAGGAAACAGTAAAGTTTTGAGAAAAAAAAAAAATATTTGAGTAACATCAAATCAAACTATAACTGGGAATTTCTTATTGAGAAAAAAAAAGCGGTTTTCCGGAACTTTTTTGTGATATCAAAAATTTTATCATTATTATTATATTTATTATTTATTATAACTGTTACAGGTCAAGTTCGGTGGAATGTTCCATTGTGATCCAGCTTCACACAATTTATTGATGTTACATCAACTTGAATTTTGTTTTTTACCTTTCGTATTTTTTTTTATTTTTGTAATAATAAGTAGGTGTACCATAATCGTTAAATAAATTATATGATTTTTTTTTCTCTAAGCGTACTAAAAAATAAAGAAAGAAGAAAGGAAATAAAAGAAACGAAAAGAAACGAAAAGAAAAAAGGGAGAAGATAAAGCAACAGACAAAACCGAAAAAAAGAAAAGAAAGAAAAGAAAGATAAAGTCAAATACAAAGAAAATATAAAACAGTTATTTCAATAAAGTAAATTTTATTATTATTATATTTTTAAAAAAATATAATAATAACAATAATAATAAAAATAACAAAAATAGGATTTCCAGTTTTTGGTTCCTTAAAATACAATATAATGAAGCTTTATTGCTTCGTTATTTTTATCATTTCGGCGTTTATAGCCTCTGGAAAGATACTTTCAGCATATTCAATACCGATTCACGATAATAATTGGACAATTTTAAATAAATACAAAAGAGACGTTAAGATAGAAATTGAAGTGCACAGGGAACCAACTGAATCTCAAACCAGGTCGGTGCCTCATACGACAGAAACAGCCACAAAAACTTATAAACAAGATGGAGAAACTTCTGATGCAGAAACATTACATGATATAGATCAAACGGAAAAAAAATTAAAAGAGGAAGCAATAACGATTCATCGAGTTATAGTTGTTCTTTGTTCTTTGGGTGCTTCCTTGGTTCTGGTGGCAATAGCAATAGCAATATTATATTGGAAAGTTGACCGAGCACAAAAATCATTACCGGAAAGAAATAATAATAAAAAAATTGATGACGAAGTAGAAAGACAAGTTACGGGAAGCAATGATGATAATGAGAATAACAATAACAACAACAACAACAACAACAACAACAACAACAACAACAGCAATGATAATGATGATAATAATAATAATAATAATAATAATAATGATAAAGACGGAGTAAGAGATGATGGTGATAATGTTAATAATAATAATAATGATGATGATGATGATAATAATAATATAGAAGATAATTATTCTATATCAGAAAAAATAGCAATTCCACCAAGAGCTCATTCATATGAAAGAGTAGAAAGAGTACCTACCGCACCGCCCGCTGATAAAATATTTGTAAACGATTTACCAAGAATTGAATCTGGTAATTTAGATGAAAGAAGAGATGGAAGAAGAGGAGGAGAAGAACCTTCAACTTATTCCTCTCCTCGATTACAAGCTCCACCTGCTTATACTCCAACTGCACCTCCCGGATATTCAATGAATGGAACTTATTTTTTATGCTATGATGGAAGTTATTCATATAATCCAAATTCTCCAATAAATTTAGAAATATGGAATAATCATAATAATATTATTATTGATGATGACAATAATAATAATTATAATCATAATAATGATAATGACGATTATGATGATAATAATAATAATGATAATGGTGACGATAATAATGACGATAACGATAATAATAATAATAATAATAATGATTCAACTCGAACATCAACTACTGCAATAACAGAAATTACAGGAACGATGGAAGAAGAAACACAACCACTTCAATCTTCTACAATTTCAATAAATAATAATAATAATAATGATTATAACGAAATACCATTTAGACGGGAACATCAACGAAATCATTCTTCAATAATATAGAAATGAATTAATAATATTTTTCTTTCTTTGTTCGACCACAATTATTATAATTGTTATTATTTCATCTTTTTATAATATATATAATAGATATGTCTCTATATTATATATTTATATTATTTATTTATTTTTGATAATGAAGATGCAATTTATTATACTTTATTATACTTTATTATACTTTATTATACTTTATTACACTTTATTACACTTATTATTTTGTGAATTCATTCATACAGTATTTCCTTTTTTTTTAAAAAAAAGTCTCTTTTTGTTATGTTGATCATCACGTCGATCATCACGTCAACTCATGCTCATCACGATACCATTCTTTTATCATCACACTCTTTTATTCATATAATAACAAATATATATATATATATATTCTCCACCCAGCAAAAGAATTTTTCAAGAAAAAAATAATTTTAATTAAAAAGAACTGCTGGAAATATTTTTGGAAATATAACAATTTACCGACAAATCGATGAAAAATTATCAACGATGATAAATTAATTGCAAGTAAAAAATTATTGAGTGGCGTACAACATCAAAGAAAAGAAACTCTAAAATTTTTAAGAATTGGAAAGAAAAAATTGGCAGAGATTTATATATGATTTACATTTATAAATATATTTATATTTATCTATATTTTTCTGCTACTTTATTCGCACAAATAATTAAGTAATAATAATAAGTAATAATAAATTAGTGTGTGTCGTCAAAAAAGAATCCACGAAAAAAATTTATTCTCTTTTTTATGACGCCCTTTTTTTGCATCTTCGACTTTATCAAAAAACAGAAAATTTAAAAAAAAATTTTCGCAAAAATTTTTGTAGATATTATAAGTTTTTTTGGGGGGGGGGTATAAACAACAATGGTGATAATTCCTATATTATACTTTTCTATTATTTAATTTCCTTTTCTTCGACGTACTTTCTTTCTTTCAATTCAATTCAATCCTTTTTGAGATCTTTGTATATAGATTTACAACACAAAAAAAAAAATAATATATAATGATATTTGTGTGCATCATTTTATTTTTATATTTTCTTCTTTTATTATATTGTAGAAACATTATTAAAAAATCTAAAATTTTTCATTGTCGATCTGTTTTTTATAACAATATCGTAAAGTTTTAAATTTTTTTTTTATATATGTATAATAATGACCGATAACCAACTAACTAAAATAATTGAACAATAATAATTATATCTATTTTTCAAAAAAAATAAATTGTAATAATAAAAGGTTACATATAATTTTCTTTTTGTTCATTGTTGAACATCACAGATCATCACACATAATTCCTAAACTAAATCGAGTTACGAATTATAATTTTAATTCTAATTTTAGTATAAGAATAATTCACGATAACATTGTTTGTCTTACAAATTATATTATTCTAATTTCTATTTTCAATTTTTGTACAACATTTATTATTTATTTATTTATATGCATAAAACTGTTAATGTTAATAAATTAATAAATTGTTTAATTATTAAAGTTAATAAAATTAAAAAATTATTATAATGATTATTATTAATTTTTTTCAATAATTTCCACATTTTCAAATTTCTTGTTTCCACTTTGAATTTTATATCCATTAATCCAATCTTTAACTAAGATTTCATTTTTACCTTCCATTTTTACACTTTTACATTCAATCAATTCAATTTCTAATAATTCCTCATTAATATTAAGAATATCCTTATTACCCTTAAGAAAATTAATTTTAATGCCACTACCACTACCACCACCACCACCACCACTATTGCTAAACTTATCACTTGTATTTTTATTATTGATCTTATTAATATCTCTACATACAATATAAATAGATGATAAATTTTTTTTATCAAAAATTATTGTACCCGATTCGAAATTTGAAAGTAATTGTTGAAATGATGGTGATGATGATTTTTTTGATGATTTAGAAGGTAATGAAGGTAATGATAATGATGAATATTTTAATAATTTTTGTTGTTGAGGTGATGTTGATTTCTGTTGTTGTGGTGGTGGTGATGGTAATGATTCTGATTCTGATGACAATGATAATTTAAGTTTTTCTACTAATTTTTGATCTTTAAGTGAATTAGGTAAAGAAAGTTGATGTAATTGAATTTGTTTTCCATCGAAGAATGTCCTTAATGGATACTATTTTGAATCAATATAAATAAATTAAATATATAAATATATAAATTAAATATAAAAATATACATAAATAAATAAATTAAAATACAAATATAATGATTAAAATGTAATAATTAAAAAAAATAAAATAATTAAAAAATATTAATAATTAAAATAATTAGAAAAATAATAATAGAATAATTAGATATTTATACCTGATGAGAAATTGCTCGATGTAATTGATCCAATTGTTTTACTGATATATGATTCCATTTAATAAAAGACATATCTTTTGATATTTTTGGAGCTAATATAATTTTTGATTCATCTTGTTCATATGAATTTCCCTATATTTATTAACATTTATATTATATTTATACGTTTATATATTAATGATAATAAATAATTTTTTTTTTTTTTTTTACCTGATAATAATCAAAATTTCTTAATGTATCTAATAATAATTCTGCACCTTCTCTAGCAAGCATAGATTCTAATAATGAATAAGTAATATAAGGTGGTACTGGCTAAAAAAACAACAACAATAATAATAATCAAAATAATAATAATAATAATAATAATAATAATAACCAAAATTAAAATAAATAAATAAATAATCAAAAAATTAAAAGTTAAATATAATAATCAAATAAATAATTTACTAACCACAACAACTTTTCTAAGAACTTTTCCTGCATCAAAAATTTTTTTATGAAGTTCTTGAATTGTAATTCCGGTTTTTTCATCACCATTTAAAATTGTATATTGAATTGGGGATGCACCTCGATACCTAAACACACACCATATATAAAATGGTGTACATATAATAATCGTAATCATAATCATAATCATAATCATAATCATAATCATAATAATAATAATAATTGACCAACTTTACTTACTTTGGTAATAAAGAAGGGTGAATATTTATAGTTCCTTTGGTAAAAGATTCAATAACTTTGGATGGTAAAAAATAACCAAATGATACTACAACACCTATATCAAAGTTACTTGAAAGATCATCTGATGGTTTTGGAACCTTTTTTTTTAAAAAAAATTTTATTTAATTTATTATTATTATTATTATTATTATTATTATTAATTTTGATTTTTAGAAATAAATAACAGACAGATAAAAAAATAAATAAATAATAATTAATTACCTCCCAATTTTTTAAAGTTTTTAATGGTGCCTCATGAATAACCAATTCTTTATTTTCAGCAATTAATTTGATTGGACCTTTATTATTATTATTGAAAAAATGATAAAGTTTAATTAAAGATGATGAAGAAAATCATTTAAATATGAATGTTGTATATTATTAACCTACTTTGTTTTAAATTCTTTAACCCTCTACCTGTCATCTGATCAGGTGGTATCACGACTTCGAGGGATTTAATTATTGAAGGAGAACTACCTTTTTATCATTGTTTATTGTTATTATTTATTGTTATTATTGTTATTATTATTATCATTATTATTATTATCATCATTATTTTGCTGAAGAAGAAATTGAAGGAAATTTATCATCATCGTCATAACGTAATCACAATAATAATAATAATAATAATAATTTCAATACATTTTTCTTCGACTAAAGCTAATAATGATTCAATCGAATAATCATCTGATCCAAAAAATAGTATTCGATATGGTGGTGGTGAAATTGACTTTGACGTGGGTGTGGATGATTGACTAAAATATTTTACCTAAAAAAAAAATAATTCGATAATAAAAAAAAAAATTTGTAATAAAAAGATGAAATATGAAAATAAATTTTAACTCACTTTATAATCATTATTTAATGCATTTAATGGATGATGATTATTATTATTACAATAAAAATTATAATGAATTGATTTTATTAATTTTAATTTAGTTGATTTAGTTTGAAATGAGAAAATTCTTTTTGAAAACATCTTTTTTTTACACGCAAAAAAAAAACAGGTAAATTGGTAAATTTGGTAAATTTATAATTTTTTTTTGGTCATGTAGATCTACAAATTCGGAATTATCAGTGATTATAAATCCATTATTTAATTCCACGCTCAACAATCAAGATACCAAAAATAAATAATAGTACTTATCAAAAAAAAAAATTCTTTGTTGCCAATTTTTGAAATATTTTTAAAGCAAATTCGATAACTTCTTTTATTAAGAGAATTTTTCTTTTAATAAATTTTCATGGTTGTTATAATCCTTGATTCGAATTACAAATTATATTTATATTTATCATTACAAATGTATTAAGATTTTTAATTTCAATCGGGTGTAAATATTTAAAGTGGGGCACTTTATCGAAATATCAGATGAAATAATAAGATACATATAATAATCAATAATTCCAACTAATATAAGTAACTATTCTTAACTAAACTAATCCTAATCCTAAAAAAACTATTTTTTAACTAAAAAAATAATATAAATAAAAAAAAACTATTTTACTAACTACTAACTGATAAATTCAAAAAAAATAATTAAATAAAATGCGTAAACTAAAACTATCTAAAACCATCGAAATTCTAACTAAAACTATCGAAATTACATCAAATAGTCTTCATCTTCTCTTGATTATGGTTGGTTTTATCATAATCGTCATCATCCACAACAGTTTTGGTATTTTAGTCGGGAATTAAGAGTTCCTATTAACTGTTAATTACAAGGACCCAAATATAAATTCTTGGATTTCGGATTTAGTAATAATTGGATGGTCCTTGTGAATATATGCCCACACTTCAGATTTGGAAATAATGTCGTCGAAATTCGGGGCGGTCCACAAGGCGGAAATCGGTAGTTGAATGTGCGTCGGTCCACGGAAGAAGAAATGTTGGCGGATTTCTGCAAGTGTGAGACGAGAACCTAATAATAATAATCGAATAAGAAAATAATTAGCAAAATATATTTAATTAAATAATTTTTTTATACTTACTCAGGATTGAGTATTCCAGAAATAAGGTTTTGGAAGCATGTGATACTTCGATATCACTAGGAAACTCAAAATCGGCATTTAAGATTCGACTGTAAAAATTATTAAAATAAGTTTAATATATATTATAACAAATTATAAATGAATTTTATTTAATAAATTAATTACTTAATAACCATTGATTGGGTATTACCAAAAAATGATTGTATTCCGAAGAGCATGATGTACCTATTATTAAATAATAATAATAATAACTATTAATATTTTTGTAAATAATTTAATAATAAAAATAAATTATATAAAATTTTTCTTGCATAATAATAACACCAATTGCCCAGATATCAGCTTCATATCTATAGCCAACTTTGGGATTTAACATTTCCCGTGCTATATATGGTAACATTCCATAGATAGTTCTATAATTTTAAAATATCAATATTATTAATAAATATTAATTAATATGTAATGATTAATTATAAATTATTTACCTTGCACGTTCATCTGTGAAAGTAAATTCAATTGACAACCAAAAGTCTCCAACTTTTAAATCTAAATCATCTGACAAGAAAATGTTGTCAGGATTGAGATCTCTATGCAAGATATTGCTAGTGCCATACCAAAAAGGAATTTCGATTTTAGCTGATTTATAATATAGGACGCAATAGGATGGTCGATTTTTAGCTGATTTATAATATAGGAATCACCATTTGGTACAGTAATTCTTTTGTATTTGACCTGTGTATTATGCATATAGTCCACAGCATCAATTAATTGTATCATGTATAAGCAGACTTCAGCTTCAGTCAATTCCCCTCTATTCTTCACCATATCAAAAAGAGACTATTGATAAAATTATATTATATTTAATTTGATGAAATAACAAAACAATAAATAATAAATATTACTTACTTGATTGGAACAAAATTCCATTTTAAAATATATGAAGTCTGAATCATCAATCATCAAATACATCATAGAGATTAATGATGTATAGATGTTTGAGTATACTATAAATGTTGATTCATTAAGAACCTATAAAAAAAAATCATAATTAAGAATTAAATTTAGAATTAAAAATTAAATTTCACATCTGAAAAACAAAATTTTATTAATTTAAGTAATTTTTACCTTATTATAAATTTGTTTAAAAGTTTTTTTTTCAATTGCTTTTAGAGCAAATACTTGTTTGCAACTTTAAAATCAAATAATATTTGTTTATTATTTATTTATAAAAAAAATAAGAAGAAAAGAAAAAAATTATTTAAATTATTTACTTTTCCAAGTACTTGAACATTATATCCTTCATTAAGTTAGTTTGAAGGTTGGATAACTTGTAATGACATTTTTGAAAAATTCATTTTGAATTTAATAAGTTTTTTAAAGAAGTTTTATAAGTTTTTAAAGTTTTTTTAAAAGGAAAACTAGATCTATTTATAATTAAATAATTTCTCTTGTAAACACAACAATAAACTTTATTTTATTTATTTATTTATGATGATCATATAAATAAGTTATTTATGATATTGATAATCAATTTTTTAATTTAATTTCATGTAATATATTTATTTTATTATTATATCATCAAAATGTTATATGTAGACTTATAGATAATAAAATCTGCATTTTCTGTAATTATTAGTGATCAAAGTTTGAACAGCCGAACAAATCAAAAAATTAATAATTTTCACAGACGATACAAATTTACTTAGTAGCATTTTTAAAACTTTTATATATGGATTATTTATAATTTTATATTACAACCATATTAGATACTTATAAATATAATTCTACAATTTTTTTGTTTAAATATTTGTAATTTCACAATGATAATTTTAATGATTTCCTTTTCATTTTTACTACCTTTGTTTGTTCTTTTGTTCTCTTTTTTTTTTTCTTCTTCAATTTTTCCTTTCTTGTTCATTTCAATAATGACAATTTCAACTTTGATAACTTCATGATAGATAATTATGAAAATTTCCTTTTTCTTCTTGTTTCTTCTACCTTTTTTCTGTTCCTTACCTTCTATTCTTCTATTCCTTTATCCTTTTCTCTTTCGAACTAAAAGGATGATTAATTAACAAATGATTATCAGTGAAAAGATCACTGATATGCCACATTAGTTGTTTGACACGGTGATTATTGTACAACAGCAACATCTACTTATATATATATATAATATTGTAACTTTTATTTATGTATTCAAAATGTCAAGAAACAAAATTCTTGTATTAGGACGTCGAAACGTGGGGAAATTGTCAGTTATTAAACGTAAATAAAATAAAAAAAATATAATAATGTATATAAAATCTCTTTTTTTTTAAAAAAAAATAATTTTCAAATTAAATTCTTCTTTTGTTATTTCAGAAATTCTATCCTGTACAAATCAATCAATACCAGACGAAATATCTTCAAAATGCGAGAATCAAAATAATGACAATATTAGTAATAATAGTAGCAATAACAATAAGAATCATAATACGGATAATATTAATGGTACAACAACAACAAATGACGGCGAAGAAGAAAAAAATAATCATGCTGGAAGTAAAATACACTGGAAAATAATAACAAAGTATTATACAGCAAATGTAGAATTTTGGATTGATGAAACGGTTTCCAAAGATCAATTGAATTATGAAGTGATCAAAGAATACGAAAAAGAAGAAAATGGTATTGGAAATGTTGTTGACGCGATCTTATTCGTGTTTAGGAAAGATATTGTAAATATACTTATAAATTTATATATATGTTTTTAGATATATTTTGTATATTTTATTATTTTAATATTTCGCACATTTTATTTTTTGTTTTATATTTGAATATAAAAAATTTTTTATTTAATATTATAAATTTCACTAATTCAAAATTTTTATACATAATAGCCATCAACATTTGATGATATCCAAGCATATTTACCATTTATAAACAAATACGAACCATCTATAACTCTTGTAGTAGGCACCGGAGGAAAAAAAATTGTAGATGAAAATGAAGAAAAGGAGGAAAATGAAAAGGAAAAGAAAAAGAATGAAAAAAAGGAGGAAGAGGAGAAGGAAGATGAAGAAGATCCCTATGAAAATTGGTGTTTGGAAAATGGATTTGAATATGTTGATTTAGATCTAGATGCCAAAAAGAATGTTATAGATAGTTGTAAGTCAATCATTTTTATTCTTAATTTTTAAATATTTCAGATAGAATAAATAATAAATCATATGAAAAAATAATTATCTATAATTTTTAGCAGAACGTGTTGGAATAGACCGAATTTTGGAAGCATTACAATCTCATATGTGGGAGGGAATGATTCGTGTATCAAAAGAAAATAATAATAATAATAATAATAAAAAGGGGGAAGAAGAAGAAAATAAAGAAAGTAATAAAAGAAAAGAAAAGATAGAACCTTCTTTTGGTGATGATAATGATGATGAATTTTTTGGAGAAGGTATGAATGAAAATAATAATTTGAATAGTTAACCTAATTGATTTATAATAATAATATTATTATATTCTATAATATACTAAATATATTTTAATAAAAAATATTTTCTTAGTAATGCCTTCTAAACAAGAAGTAGAATCAATGTATCAACATATTTTTAAAGACTTTGATGAAGATGATGGTCTTGATAAAGTTCTCTCTAGAATAAGTAGCATAAGAGGTGCAGATATTTATGTTTGTTTGTTTTTTTTTTGGTTGTTATCAAATTTTCATTTTATCTACCTATCTATCAAGTCTCTAACTCGTTTATCAAATCTTTCATTTTATATTATCATGAAGAACGTGGTAAATCACTTCCTGATGAAGAGAGGAGAAAATTGGCAGCATCTGTTGCATATTCTTTTAGTTTGCATATGGAGGATAATAAGTAATTCAAAATTTCAATTATAACAAACAATAACATAATTTATTTCTATGGGCTAATTTTGACTCGTCTAAAATTACTTGTGACTATTTAAGGCTAAACATATACCAAAATAGGTAAATTGTGTGTAGATCGTGATTTACAGATGAGTCAAATCGGCCATATGATTCAGTATGATTTATCAAAGGTGTTTATTAATTATCAAATTATTAATTCTTTGATAATCCTTTGATTAAATTAAATGTGAAAAAAATGCATCTCAACCTAATTTTATTTTATAACATAAGATTATAATTTTTTTTTAAAGCAGTAAAGTAATTAATAGTAACCTCATACTCCTTAATAATGGGATAGGAAAGAAAAAATCATTGGTTCAAAATAAATCAATTAAAAATGTTTTTGATAAAAAATGATAAAAATGTTTTTGATAAAAAATGATAAAAATCTTTAATAAACATTTTAATGAAGTAATTAAATTATTTAAATAATAAATTCTTTCCTTTCAATTTTCTTCAAAGGTTCATTTTTTTAAAAAGTTTAAGTACAGTAAAGCATTTACAAAAGAAAACTTCTTTATGATAAATGCCATTGACATTACTTTTTTCAAAACACCAAATATAAATATAAGAATCAAATAATGAATGTGACTTGGAAAAAGATTCAAAAAAGGTGATATTATTCATGTACAGGGATGTTTTTTGATGGGTAAGGTCTCGGAGTTTCTCCTCTTGAATGTCTCTATCCATGTTCCTCTTGCATTTGTATAACAATAATGCCTTGCACGTGTTATATGTACTGTGGAAATCGCTTCTTTTTCAAATTATTCGACATCGACCCGGATTATATTTCCTAAACATACCGACATTAAAGGACTTTTCGAGCGAAGAAACTGTAAAAGAACTTGGTACAGCAGTGAGATATTATATCCCACTTAGGTTGGATCATAACCATCCTATTGTACGATTGGTTCACGTTTGTATCGTGCTTCGACTTTGCGTTTGCGTCGTACTTCGAGATCACTTCGAGGCTGGAATATACTGTACATGTCGTCGAAATTCAGGAATTACATTGGGTTACGACATTCATATACCGTAATTTTTAAAGTAGTTGCTCACTTTTTTAATAAAAAATTTTCAATATTAAAGTTAAATTTGTAATAAATAAAAATTTATTTAGTATAATGTTATTATTTTTATTACAATTAACTTCGGAAGAGTGATAATAATAATAATAATAAAATCTCAAAATAATATTTTAAATTGGTATTTAATTAAGGTTATAACGTAATATCATAAATAAATATGGTTATAGAATCTTAGCCTTAAATGCCTTAATACTTTAATGCTAAATAGTTATGGTGCTAAGATTATAAATGCACGTGGTTACCTCATAACTCGAAATCACGGTAGTTCCTTGCCTCCAGCAAGCATTCGGCCATTTTACCTTTAATAATAGCAAAGACCCCGAATGTAAAATTTTACGTAAACCTAATTGTTAATGACCAACAGTGTGATATACTAGGTCGTAAAAAAAATTGATCTATACAAATCCGCCTGGCACTATAATAATAAGAAACAATTTAAGGGATGTCTACATGTAAAATGAAAAAACTCATGGTGTAAATTGTGCTTCTGAAGATATACATTATCAATTTACAGTCAACTAGTTTCTTTATAGTAACAATTGATTGACTAATTTTTTTAAATTATTGTAACAAATTGAACTGATAATTTTTTTTTAAAAAAAAAAATTGCAATTGTAATAAGCTCTTTTTACAAATTAGCACCTTTTATTGCTTCAATTTCGTTACCCACTTCAGCTTCATTTTATAATTAAAAATGAATGAAAAAGTAAACATGTGAAATTTATTCAACAATTGCGAGACCTTTGGTCTTTAATTCGAAAAAAGACATGTTTGATTGTCAATTATTGTAATAATACTCATGACAAAAAAATATGCGGCAAAAATAAACATTAATAAAATGCCTACTATATTAAGATATGCATGATATTCGTGATATTATTGCTTTCGGAATGCCTTATTTATTTTATCTATAAAAAATACCACACATCTTATGTACGTATTTACGAAATATGGAAGTTTGCATAGTGTTTGAGGGCAGGTAGATTTCCACATCTCAAAAATGAATCATCGAAAAGTGAAGGTATCTTCTATATTTTATATAATATTTTTTGGAATTGTCTTCACTTTTTAGCAACATATTTGAGGATGGGTGAAGCCTTCTGCAATAATTATTATAATATATTTTCGCACTTGGTTTCCACATTCGAGGCTGACCAAAGTGGAACTATGCAAAAAAAAAAAAAATGTAAGACGAGGGTAACCATCTTCCATAATTTATATATAATATTTTTGGAGTTAGCTACCCTGAATTCCTATTAAGTTAGTTATCCTAAATTTGTACTATAAAAATAAATAGCTACTGCGCCTTCGCATGGCATTTTGCTCGTGACTTTCCTGTTAATTTGCGGTTTCCTGTAGTTTCTAATAACCTTTATTTTTATTTTTATAAGACCGAATCTAAGAAAACGGAACTAATTTTTGGTTGAAAAGTCAAAAATCTTGTCTTGTGAATTATGAAAAGATGAAGGTCAGCAGTATATTTTATCTTGTAATGAAATACAGATTGATTGTTCTGGTGATAATATTCAAGGACACAAACGATCTTATGAGTTAAAATATTCTTAATTTATATAGATCATAATATTAATATTAAAATTTTTTTTTTTATAAAATAGAAGTTCTATAGATTTCAAAAGGTTTGAAATTAAACATTAAAATATAAACATTTATTATTTATTTTGGATTTTATAGAGTAAATACATATATATATATATATTACAATAAAATAAAATTATATACTTTTAATAATTATAATATTAGATAAAAAAAAATATGTATAATAATCTATCTATCTTTGAAATCACATATGTGATATAAAAATATTGAATCAGCCCACGAAAAAATAAATTTTTATTAAAAAAATCCATTTGTTGAATTTTTTATCCATTAAATGAAATCACGTATCTAATATCAAAGGTTTTTGTATTTATACGCACCCACCAGAAAAAACATATACAAGAACAGCACAATACTAGGTGATTCGTATCAAAGGCTTGTTCTCGGAACGCATTCAAATTTTGTAAGGGTACAAACAATTTGATGACATTGATAATGCCTTTTCTGTTTATTATTTTTTGGACAATTAAGGATAGGAGAAGGTGTGAGTGTACATGTTGCACTGGATGTTGTTGTTTTAGTGGTAGTAGAAGGTTTACGACAAATAGTAGAAGGTTTATGACAAGTAGTGGTAGTAGAAGAAGATTTACGACAAGTAGTAGTAGTAGAAGATTTACGACAAGTAGTAGAAGGTTTATGACTAATAGAAGGTTTATGACAACTAGTAGATGATTTACGACAACTAATAGATGATTTACGACAACTAGTTGATGATTTACGAGTAGATGATTTATGACAACTAGTAGTAGTATGGGAATCAACAGTAATAGTCAATACCAACAGATATAAAAAAAGGACAATTAAAAATATGTTAAAAGTTTTTCTACTCATTGTTAGCAGGAATAGTGAAAACTGATTGTTAAATTCAAAAAAATACAGTTTATATAATTTTTGAAATCGTTCATTACATATTATTTTTTTTTGAACTCAAGCATGTTTATCTGTTATTGAAATAAAGTTTACAGTTATACAATAAATCATTGAGCCCTATTTGGAAGTTACATCACATTAATTACGTGCATCCGATATCATTGTTTCAACATAATAGTCAATGACTACATTTACTATTAATGCATCTCAATCTTGACGTTGATCGACGTTGATTAATCACGTTGTCGTGACGGGTCGTCACGCGGGAAAAGTTGCTTCGTTCTATTGTCATTATCTCTAATATCCTTACCTTTTTTTTCGAACCCTTCAGAGTAATAGTGTCAGCACCGAATTTCTTCTTGATAGGTGATTTTCTGCTTAAAATGCTTGATGAATGGGCTTGAGTGATATCATTTCCGTTATATGCATTTATCTGATTCTCTTCATTTTCGTTAATTTATTTATTTTTCCGAGTTCTCTTGTATAGCGATAATGGTATTTCTTTCGTATGTAATGGTCTTGCATGGAAGGTTTGTCCGTCTGTTCCTTTGACCCGAAGAGAGCTATCACATACAGCTAACCCCAATTCCCTGATATATTCCAAATCGTTATCTATAGTATCTGTACTTACCTGTGATGCTTTTTTCCAAGGGCACGATTAATAGACATTAGATGATGTTCACCAGAAGTTCCTCTCTAATAACTTCAATGGATATGAGGACAAATAGGACATGTAGGGCTTCGTTTTTTCAAGATAGGTTCGACACCTGTAGTGGAAATGCTAGGATTTCTTTCCCAAAAAAATTAATTAATTATTACCTCCCAACTTTTTAAAGTTTTTTAATGATGTCTCGTGAATAACTAATTTCTTTATTTTTAGTAAAGACTTATTATTATTTTAGTATTATTTATTTTTATTATTATATTATTGAAAAAAGATGATGACGAAAATCATGTTTTAATATGAATTTGCAAATTTTTTTTTTTTTTTTAGACTTATGATTTTATTTTTATTGTTGCTTTACAAAGTAAATGATTACATGATTACGTAACAGGATTAAAATCCCAAGGGATACATATATCAAATTACCAAATGAGAGAATCCAAAAAAATAAATAAATAAATACTAAATAAATAATCCTAACCTGAGGATATATATTTTATTAAAATAAAAAAAATAAAAAAATAAAAAATAAATTCATTAAAACAATTAAAATTTTTGAAGATAATTCAATCGATGGTAAATGATGGTAAATAATGGTAAAATGGTTAGTTTCCATAGGAAGGAAGATTCAGGGAGACTTAGGAAGATGTAGAAGAAGATATAGGAAGATGTAGGTTCGTGAGGTGTGAAGAGATTACGTGATTACATGATAGAGCAATAGTTGGTTGGATCACCTGATTTAGGTTGTTCAGTGGTTCCAAGAATAATAGGTTTAGAGGAATTCATGATAGAACAATAATTGGTTGGATCACCTCCTTTGGGTTGTTCAGTTACGGTGGTGGTAATAGTAGAAGAAGAGGCAACAATTTTTGGATTCATTTTTAATTGTAAGTTTTTTTTTTTTAAAAAAAAGATTTAAGATTTTTTTTTTTTTTAATAATAATAAAACTTTCAAAGTTTTAAAATATGGAGATTTATTTTTTATTTTTTTATTTGATTTATTTTCTGTTGTTGTGAAGAAAAAAGGCTAGCAAAAGAGAGACTGTATTTATAATAATTCTGATCTCGTCAACTCATCAATGAAAATATTGTTCGTTGGATTTAATATTATTCTATTGTTCGTAAGTCATGTTCAATATATGCGTATTATTTTCATGTTTAAGAATATAATCATTGTATCAGTTAATGAAATGTTAAAAGTGGTAATAATGTTTTATTAACTAAAAATTGCATTTGTATACGTATATTGTATGTATTTTAATACTTAACATCGGGGCACATTTCCCCTAATGTTAGAAAAGTTTATCTATTGTGTTATATGCAATGTTTTCATCAAAATTATTATGCTTGAAAACTTATTACTATTTCCTCTGAAAATAGAAACTCATTTAATTTAATTTGTTTGTTTTATTTTTAGAATTCACTTTTATCATATTGTTTTTTGTTTCAATTAATTGAATTTATTAATGATTTGTTCTCCCTTTTTGAGATTCAATGTATTAAAACATTATTAAACATGTGACAAAATCTGATACAATTGATGTGACAAATTTGATACAATTTTCAATTTATTGTATTTAAGTTTTAATTAGGAAATATTTTTGATGACGCAATGTTATGATTTGATTTTTTTTCTGCGAAAGAATTAACTGGTCGTTGTGCGACTCAATATTTGAATCTCAATTTTTATTTATTTATTAAAAAAAAATACGATTTTTTTCGTTGAAATCAAATAAATAAATAATAAAAAAAAATAAATTATAAGTAAATAAAAAAATGATAAAAAAATTATTGATTGAATATATAACAACTTTATATTAGTATTAAAAAAAATTTTTATTAAGAAAATAACTACATTATATAATGATATATACAAAAAAAAAATAAATAAGGAACGATTAAAAATTCTAAAATATATTTATGAGTGTATATTTTTTTTTATGAATAAATGAATGAATAAATAAATATATGAATAAATAATAATTAAATAAAATGATTGATTGATGAATGAATAAATAAAATTTAAATTAAATTAATTCAATAAATAATGTATGTTTTACAAATGATGAATGATGATGTATATAATAATGAATGAACTAAAAAGAATTATGAATTTATAGTTCAAAAAAAAAAAAAAGAAAATCTTGAGAAATTACATGATGATGGTAGATAGAAATTCTTATTATGAAATATTTCGAAACATCGTTTGTCGTTTTTCCGCCCGAATCTGTTGTCGTTGTTGAATTTCCATTATATGAGTTTCACAATAATGTTCATTATCGTAAATATAATAAACATCCGTGAGAGGGTATTGACATCTCTTGATAATTTTTAAAAAAAAAATATTATTAAAAAAAAAAAATTAATACATGAAAAAAAAATAATAATAATATAAAATAAAACAAAGAAAAAAAATCCCATGTCACTTACATAACAAACAAAACATCCCGGATGATATCTCCATCCTTCATCAGTTTGTGCACATGGACCTTCTATAGGTTGATCACACTTTCTACATAGAGAATTATTAAGTTTATGATAATGTCGTTTACAATATGGTGCATTCTCGAAGACATAAAATGATTTATCCGGAAATGGTTTATTGCATGTCTAAAAGAAAAAAAAAAAAGAAAAGAAATTCATTATTATATATATATATATATAAAATATAATTGTATTGTAATTAAAAAAAAAATAAATATCCACATACGTGACATCCAAAACAAGTGACATGCCACTTTCCTTCCAATTTTCCATCACTAGCAGTTATGGCTTCTTTTTGAACCGGCAATTTACATCTACGACATTTGGGTAAAAATAAATTGGTAAAATCATCCGGACAATAAACTCTTCCTTCCTTTTCCACATGTCCAATATCTGGATTAATGGGTTTTTTACATTCTGCACAAAGGAGATGATGAGAATGCCACGATTTACCCAATGCCCACAAGGGAGATGAATCACCAATTGGTTTGTTACTTTAATTACCCAAGAAAAAATAAATAAATGATATAATATAAATATATATGGATATATGGATATATAATTTTTTGAATTTATAATTAATTTAATAACTCTAAGAACCAATAATATATATAAAATAATTTACCAATAAGCACAAATATCTTGTGACTTTTGTTGTAGATTTTGATGATGATGATGATGAATTACTTTATTTTGACCCTTGTTATTATTATTATTGTTATTATTATTATTATTATTATTATTATTTTGACCTTTAATTTTTTGTGAAGGAGTTTGCATATTATCCATTTCTCTTAATAAATCTTCCATTAAATCATCAAAACCTCCACCAAAAGATTCAGAAGCTAAAAAGAATAAAAAAAAAAAATAAATAATATAAATTATTTATATTTATATTAATATTTTAAGAATAAATATGAATGTTCTTAATTATTTTAACTTACATTTTTCTGATACACCAGATCCAGATTTTGTTGATGAAATAGAACCAACATTACCATTTTTATGACTTTTATCTTTATTATAATTTTTTTTGATATCTAACGAAGCATTTGGTAAATGAAGTGAGGAAGTTGGCAATGGCGGTGGTGGTGAATGTGAATGTTGTGGTTGTAATGGAGGAGATGACAAAGGTGAATGTGAATGAGTTGGAATTGTTGGAATTTGAGAAGAAGGAAGGAGAGTAGTATTAGGATAATTAGTTTTTTCTTGAGATGGTTTTCGAGGATAATCTTGTGGTGATGGTGATTTATTATTAATATTTCTTTCATTTCCGTATCCTGTTATTTGTGGTGCTGGGGAACGACTTCGATTATTATTATTATTATTATTAGCAGGAGTAATGTTGTTATTATAATTTCGCATGTAACGATTATCTGGTGATTGTTGTGGTGGTGGTATTTGATTCGTCATCATATCATCTGCTGTTAGATAATTATTATTATTATTATTATTGTTATTGTTATTATAATTATTATTATAATTATTGTTATGAACACGATCAATATTGGGATAAACTTTTCCACCAATACCACCATATGCTTGATAATGTTGTTGCTGTTGATAATGATGATTAGGGGAAGGAGGAGATTGTTGAATAGGAGGTGTAATCATTTGATTATTTAATTGTCTATCTCTTTGTTGTTGTTGTAATTTTTGATAATCTCTTAATTGTTGTTGTTGTTGTTGATAACCATTATCAAAATATTCTTTAGAAGCAGAAGATGATGATGATACAGTTGAAGAAGAAGTATGTGGAGTTGGATAATTTGAATTAACAGGTTTTCCAGTAACTTGTTGATATTTTTGTAAAAATTTATTACTACTATTACTACTCTTATTATTATTACTATTATTATTATTATTATTATTCATTTGCTGAGGTGGAAATGAAGGAGAATTAGGAGAAATAGGATGAGAATGATTAGATGGATTAATAGGAGAATGATTAGATGGATTAATAGAAGAATAATTTGAATATCCAGAATCTGAAGGTAAATAAGGAGAACGAGGTCTTCCGTGTTGAATGCTACCATTTAGATTTTCATCTAATAATTGAAATATTATAATTGTTATTATAATTATTTTATTATTATCTTAATTATTATCTATTAAATTTAATGCTTACTTGAATTATTTGAGACAGATAAAGAGGAGTTGAAATTATTGGAAGGTTTATTCATATTTGGCATATTGTCTTTAAAATATATATATATATATATATATTAATATGAATGTTATTTTGATAAAATTTATAAATTATAAAAATTATATAATAATAATAATAATAATAATAATAATAATAATAAATACCCATTCGCATATTGCTGTTCCCAAGATTACTATTATTATTCTTATAAGAACTAGGTAAAGCGGGAACAGCGGGAGCCCCTTGACATAAATGTTCCCCAAGTCTTCTAAATTCCACTGTTTCCCCACAATCCGAACATTTTATTGTTGGTATTAATTGACTAATGCGTGGTTCTTGTTGAACACTCATACTTTGGTTACTAACAGATGACCTTTGTTTGTTTTTTCTTTTTTGTAAAGATTAAAAAATGATAAAAAAATTGATATTCAAATATTCTTTATATTCTTTATTATTATTATTAATTATTATCAGAAGTAATAGTTTATATCATACTTTTAAACAAACTTGTGGAAAAAAAAAAAAATACTACTGCTAATAGTATTAATAATTTTTTTTTTTTTCAAAAGGCATGCAGTATTTGATAATGAAATTTGACTCAATTAAATATGTTGTTTTTTTTACAACTTTTCGTACGAGGTAATTATTCTTTTAATGCATAATAACATGTAAGATGTAAAGGATCAGGTTTGTTATTACGACGAATTTGGCCTAGAACAATTTTCTTTTTACGGAAAATTATAGTTAATTTTAATTTAATTTTACAATCAATATAATTTCCTTAAATGTCTAAATTGTCAAAAAAAGAATCGGTAATTGGGAATACTAATACCAAGAATGACCAAGATTTTTACCTTTTCGAGAAATTCTATAATAGATTCAATTTATTACGAGAATTATTTATATATTTTATAATTGTTATATTATGTATTATTATTATTATGAATATGAAAGATTTTTCATTCATTACATTTAAATCATTAATAAATAATAAATAGTGGTTTATTTTAATTAATTTAATTTATTAATTTTATTTATTATTTAAATTATTTGTTGTATTCACCATCATCATGATCATCATGATCATCATACCTTTTCTATCATTTCATCATCCACATTATCATAAATTGATAATAATCAATTATTAATTAATAAATATCATCACGAACATTTTATTCATTTTATTTCTTCCCATCAAACATCATGATATTAATAATATTATCATTTTTTTTTCCTCATCATCAATCCATCATGAACTTTTTCCTATTGCACTTTGAAGTGCTTCATAAACGTCGATTTCAACTCGAGCAATGTTCTTTTCTTCTTCTGACATATTTGATGCTACTATTCGTTGAGCTTCTGCCAAATTTGTTCTAATATTCTATTATTATTATTATTATTATTATTATTATTATTATTATTATTATTATTATTATTATATATTATTATTATTATTATTATATATTATTATTATTATATATATATTATTAAATAAAAGTATTTGAGTATTTTAGTTGTGAACAATGATAATATTTATGAATAAAAAATAAATTAAAAATAAATTAAAAATAAATCAAAATTAATAATATTAAAATAAAATTAATATTAAATTAAATTAAAAATTAAAATTAAAAATAAAACATACTTCAATTGAAAAATCATCTAAGGGAAAAGCTTCTACGGCATTAATATCAAGCGAAGAATTACTATTCATAACCGCAAATCCTCCACTAACTGATTTATTTATATATAAATTTAAATAAAATTATTAGTAAGTACATACATTTCAATTCATCTAAAAATGAAAACATCAAAATTTCTAAAAATTCATTCACCAAAATATTTTTTCGTACTATTCGGATTTTCGGTTATTTCGATTATTCCTGGTTTCAACTGTTCAATAGATGGAACGTGATTAGCGAGAATACCCATATCACCAGACGTTGCTGAAACATTAACTTGTTGAACTTCAATGCTTTTATAAATTGTCTAAATAAATAAATAAATAAATAAATAATAATAATAATAATAATAATAATTTATAATAATATAATAATATATAATAAGAATAAATGATATTATTATAATAAAATTAATATAATAAATTAATAGAATTAATAAATTAAATATTGTTATGACATTTACCTGATGAGGAAGTGCAAAGCTAAGTTTTAAATTATTGGAAGCTGAAGTTTCAGCTGCATAATGACGAACTGGAAAAATATAATTTGAAATAATAAATAATAATTCAATTATTCTCATATATTGTAAATTAATGTACTTGGGCATTGTTTTATATTCTTAATTATCTTTACTTACCTGAAGTAACAAACGTATTATTTACCCGAAAGTTATTATTTCGTAATACTCCTCCATTAACTACTCTAGCAAAAAACGTCATCTTTAAATTATTTATAATATATATGAGATAATATTTTTATAAAAAAAAAAAAGATAATCTAACTCTGAAAGCTGCGGAATTTCTAATGATATATCTATTTTAGAAATTACAGTTGGAACATAATAAATTAACAAAAAATTACTAATTTTTAATTCAAAATAGGAAATTTTTTAGTGTTCAAATAAAAAAATAATTTCATATTTTGATAGAACATGATTAGAACTATATTCAGTCATGTGAAGGTGATTTCATTGGCTGAAATTTTTAACTTTTACTTTTAAATCACACCAGTGGTATTCAATTAAAGTATCATTTTTGAGACACCTATGGTTATTTTTTTGATACATCAAATACATGTGACAAAAATGGTCATTTTTTTGATATGTTTATAATTGTTTTATTTATAGATACATCAAAAAAAATAATATTTTGTCACATGAAATTTGATATATCAAAAAATAACCATAAATATATCAAAAAACAATACCTTTGTACCAGTGATTATTATCCAATAAAAATAAAATACATGAAGTTCAGATGATCAAAACTATTCATGTGTGATAAATATTAGGTGACAAATATTTGTGACAAATATACTTTTCACATGTAAAAAAATTCTAAGTTTCTAGAATATCTAATAAAATTGATATTTGAAGGGCATGACACATGGTAATAAATACTATACCCTTGAAAAATCCTAACCATAACTCCTGCAGTATAGGTTATAGTGCTCAATACTATACTTGCACGCAAAATTATTTTGGGGCCCCGAAATTACAATTTCGGGGAAAAAAGTCAAAATAGTTTTTCATAGAAGACGAAATTATTTTACTTAAAACCCGAAATTTTTTGACCACCCAGATTTATTCTTTGATTAAAGATACATATAACTAGGTACTTTTTTTACTTCTATATATAGAATAGATTTTGCATAAATCTCAAAAAGTCGAAATACCTCAAAAATCCAAAATCAATTTTGGAAACATGTATACTCAATACCATGGATATAAGTTAAAGTTTTTGTTAATTTTTATTAAAATTTTGTTTTTTTTATTTAAATCCAAAATTCAGTTATTTAATATAAAATTTTTAATCAAGAAATTAATTTTGAAAATTTTTATTAAAAAAATTATAACTTTTATATAGCCAATTAATATATATATTAAACTATACAATTTGAAATATATTGATAATTTATTACTATATGTTCTAAGGATATAGAAACAATAATAAAATGTTATTCTTTTTAATATTGTTACTATGAGTTTCTTCCACTTTCATAATTTTTCTTATTATTTTGATTTATTTATTATTTGTTATTTTTTTTTTATTTTTTTTTTGTTCCAGTAAAATCTTGCCTCAAATTTATTAATTAGAAAAAAAGAAAGTCTCTTATATTATATAAAATAATACAAATACATAACTTATTCTAATAATTATATAAAAATAAAACTCAAACTAACTTGAAGAGACATGCTTGTAACCTACCACCTAACAACAGCAGTTATTATTAACATGTTAAGATCCTGCTACAAAACTAGTTTTATAAATCCAAAATTAGTTGAACTGGTTTTTGATTCCTATATTAATATAATCATTTAATAATTCTAAATGATTTTTTTTTTTAAACTGTTTATATGTATTAAATAATATATTATTATTATAATTCTTATTACTATTGTTATTATTATTGTTATTATTTAAGGTATTAGTATTATTAATTATATTAGAATTATTCATATTAACAGATTTATATTTCTTTTTTCATTTGTTAGATTTAATTTCAACACTTTTTTTCCATTCTACAACTGTTTTACAATAGGAATTTCATATGACTTTTTTAACAAAGTTTTTGAATTTACTTAATATTGTTTTCAATAATTACTTTGATAAATATACAGTCACAGGTAACTTGTTGTACTTCATTAATGATAGAGATAGAAACTAATTTATATATTATATCTATAAAGAAAATTAAATTGAGATCTGGTATAGAGTTAAAAGGAATATTCAATTCTTTTAAGTTTTCGAACTTTTGTTTAAGATTATTTCTGGTTTTATTTATATTACTATTAGTGATTATTTCCTGGATCAGGAGAGTAATCAATTGATACTTGTACTTATAAATATTTATGACATTACTATTATAAGTAAACCAATAAACTTGTTTTCAACTGTGTCATTATAGCATTGTTATTACCTAGTTGAAAGAATTTTACTAAAAGAAATAATGATTTAGCTCCAAATGATTAACGGGTGTCAAAAGATTAATTAACTATTAACAAATTAATAAAATAAAGTAAGTACAAACAATATAATCAGATAATAAACTAACACTATACTGGGTAAAACTAATAATAACAAAGATAGTTTATTCAAAAGTAATCAAGTATTATTTATTAAAAGTCAAAGATTGTATTTTTAGTCAAATGTTAACATATTTTATTAAAAAAATTTACAACCATATTTATAACATTTCTAGATGATATTATATTAAGGTTAGAGATATTACTTTAAGGATATTAATATCATTATATTAAGGTCAGGTACATAAATATAAGGTTAATGTCATTACTTTAAAGATAATATCCTTGTATTAAATCAAAGTTTTCAAACTAAGGACATTAATATAGCACAACTTCTATTATTAACTATTCTTAATAATAAACTACTAACTAACTTTAACAATAAACTAAGATTAGATTTACACATCAGGAAATTTAATTAGGCGTCGATTTACGGAATATCACATGACCTCCGGAAATTTCCGCCTGAAAAATTTGA